CGAACTTTATCGAATAAATGCGCGTGCTGTTGTAAGATTGCTCTGTTGTTGGATCCCATTGCTTCTGGAAGTCAGCTAACCGGCAGCGCAAGTTACTATCTTCCTGCCACACTTACGAGGTGCCCCTTATATCACAGAGCAACCCGCTGTGATGGAGAGAAGAATAGTAGTAGAAACACAGACGATGTGTCCGATAGAGGGGCAACGCGTGGCAATGCTGTTGTATCACTTGCAGTGCAATTGCGGAAAGGCGATCAACGAAATGCACCGCGTCGTGTTTAACGGACCTACGAAGCTGATGGCGGTTGGAGCTGGCTGCTCCACATGTACGGAGGCCACAGCAGGCGTATCACACTTCTGGAACCTCATGCAGGTATGATGCATCTAGTCCAGTAGTAGTCTAGAGGCTCTGGTAGCAATTGCATGCAGGTAAATAAGATTGATACCAGTGCGAGATTTATACCTGTGTGAGATTGTTACCTGTATGAGATAGCTATCTGTATGAGATTTATACCTATACGAGATTGCTATGTGAGATTTGTGTGTAACTACACAGAAACTTGCGTCCCTGTGAGGTGTTATCGTAAAATAGCATAGACACAGCTAGCAATCTCATACAGGTAGCTATCTCATACAGATAACAATCTCATACAGCTAACAATCTCATACAGATAACAATCTCGTACAGGTAGCAATCTCATACAGGTAGCTATCTTATACAGATAACAATCTCATACAGGTATAAATCTCCTACAGATAGCTGTTTCATACAGGTAGCTATCTCATACAGGTAGCTATCTCATACAGGTAACTATCTTATACAGATAACAATCTCATACAGGTAACAATCTTATACAGATAGCTGTCTCATACAGGTATAGCAATTGTAATCTCATGCTGGTAAATAGACACGTATTCTTCTTATTCTTATTCTTNCACAGCCCAGTGAGTCGCGTATTAAAAAATGCCTGCGAAATAAAAATGCGTAATGCCAATACAATCTTGCTTACATGCAAACACCATAACACATCATACTCTTATTTATAGGCTTTATTGACATAAAATGGCACGGCTTGTATGAAATGTACCAATTAGCCTATTCAGAACTGAATTCGTCTACGAACGTAATTTAATAATTTACGCAACGGCATTGCGCTTCGTGCTAACGATGAATTTTGACATTTAATATTTCAATCATATGTCATGCACATTGTCAAAACAACTTATTTATTAGTCAGTATTATTTCATTGCTATGAATACGGCCTGGCTTAGTTAGTGGCGGGCCTTATCCTTTCAATAGTGAGCAAGAAATTTTTAATGTTAAACCGTTTTTTTATGATATGTATTTATTATCCATGTCTGGAGATTTGGAGCCTTTGTAGGCACAGCGTCAGCATCATCTAGCGCCGATTTCCGTACCTCTCGGCAGTGTGACGAAACCGTTAGGCCAGGGCTTTGCCACAGTTCTTGTCTGAAGGCTTAAACAGAGATACCCACCCGCGGAAATCATAGAAACCAGACGGCAAGATCAGCTCTCTTAATTCTAGTATGTACTAGTCTTATTTCGTTATTTAGTTTGCTATCTATAGTCTCATGTCGTATTCTAGTTTGTATCTTGTCTCATGTGATATTCTAGTTCGTATCTGTAGTCTCATGTCGTATTTCTAGTATGTATCTAGTCTCATGTCGTATTCTAGTTTGTATCTGTCTCATGTCGTATTCTAGTTCGTATCTAGTCCACGTCGATATTATCTAGTTCGTATATTCTAGTCTCATGTCGTATTCTAGTATGTAACTACGTCTTCATATCGTATTCTAGTTTGTATTAGTCTTACTTTCCGCTATTCCTAGTTCGTCTAGTCTCACGTCGTATTGGCTAGTTCGTATTAGTCTTATTTCGTATCAGAGAACGAATCGCTCGATGCGCGACGCAGAGCCTGACGCAGCCGACTGACGCTGCGTCTCGTCGGTCCTGTCTGCCTGCGTCATGACGTCCGGCCAGCCGTCGACTCGAGATCCTTTAAGTTCTACGACAATGCTTCGCCGGCGGTGCGTCATCGACCTCTTCCTAGCAGGATTTTTCCCGTTGTAGGGAGCATGGGCGGGGAGCTCGAGGCGGCTAATCCCCGCTGTTCGAGTACGCTTGGATAATGATCAATACAGAAAGGGACATTCTACCTGGATTACCGACTGGTGCTGCATTGGGCGGATACACAGGTATATAATATATAATATAATATAATATAATATAATATAATAATTATAATATAATATAATATGGTGTCATATAAATAAATAAATAACTAAATAAATATATATATATATATATATATGTATATCAGACGGTTATTCGAATATCAGAATTTGCCCGTCATTTTATCTTTACATCGTGGTGTCTTTTCGACGTATATTTCAACGATAGTTTAAGACGATCCAACCGAACTTTATCGAATAAACGCGCGTGCTGTTGTAAGATTGCTCAGATGTACTTGTCTAGCGAGATCCCATTGCTTCTGAAAGTCAGCTAACCGGCAGCGCAAGTTTTTATCTTTCTGCCACCCTTACGAGATGCATCTTATATCACAGAGTAACTCGCTGTGATGGAGAGAAGAATAGTAGTAGAAACACAGACGATGTGTCCGATAGAGGGGCAACGTACGTACGCGTGGCAATGCTGTTGTATCACTTGCAGTGCAAATGCGGAAAGGCGATCAACGAAATGCACCGCGTCGTGTTTAACGGACCTACGAAGGTGATGGCGGTTGGAGCTGGCTGCTCCACATGCACGGAGGCCACGGCAGGAGTATCACACTTCTGGAACCTCATGCAGGTATGATGCATCTAGTCCAGTAGTAGTCTAGAGGCTCTGGTAGCAATTGCATGCATGTAAATGAGATTGATACCTGTGTGAGATTTATACCTGTGTGAGATTGTTACCTGTATGAGATAGCTATCTGTATGAGATTTATACCTATACGAGATTGCTATGTGAGATTTGTGTGTAACTACACAGAAACTTGCGTCCCTGTGGGGTGTTATCGTAAAATAGCATAGACACAGCTAGCAATCTCACACAGATAGCTATCTCATACAGATAACAATCTCACACAGGTAACAATCTCACACAGGTAGCAATCTCATACAGCTAGCAATCTCATACAGATAACAATCTCATACAGGTAGCAATCTCATACAGGTAACAATCTCATACAGGTAACTATCTCATACAGGTAGCTATCTCATACAGGTATCAATCTCACACAGGTAGCAATCTCATACAGGTAACAATCTCATACAGGTATCAATCTCATACATGTAGCAATCTCATACAGGTAACAATCTTATACAGGTAACAATCTCATACAGGTAGCTATCTCATACAGGTATCAATCTCACACAGGTAGCAATCTCATACAGGTAACAATCTCATACAGGTAGCAATCTCATACAGGTATCAATCTCATACAGGTAACAATCTCATACAGGTAACAATCTCACACAGGTAGCAATCTTATACAGGTAACAATCTCATACAGGTATCAATCTCACACAGGTAGCAATCTCATACAGGTAACAATCTCATACAGGTAACAATCTCACACATGTAGCAATCTCATACAGGTAACAATCTCATACAGGTAACAATCTCATACAGGTATCAATCTCCTACAGGTAGCTATCTCATACAGGTAGCAATCTCATACAGGTAGCAATCTCATACAGATAACAATCTCATACAGGTAACAATCTCATACAGGTAGCTATCTCATACAGAAAACAATCTCATACAGGTAACAATCTCATACAGATAGCTGTCTCATACAGGTAACAATCTCATACAGATAACAATCTCATACAGGTAACAATCTTATACAGGTAGCTATCTCATACAGAAAACAATCTCATACAGGTAACAATCTCATACAGATAACAATCTCATACAGGTAACAATCTCATACAGGTAACAATCTCATACAGGTAACAATCTCATACAGGTAACAATCTCATACAGATAACAATCTCATACAGGTAACAATCTCATATAGGTAGCAATCTCATACAGGTAACAATATCATACAGGTAACAATCTCATACNTAAACGCGCGTGCTGTTGTTGGATCCCATTGCTTCTGAAAGTCAGCTAACCGGCGGCGAAAGTTAACATCTTGCTGCCACACTTACGAGGTGCCCCTTATATCACAGAGTAACCCGCTGTGATGGATAGAAGAATAGTAGTAGAAATGTAGACGATGTGTCTGATAGAGGGGTAACGCGTGGCAATGCTGTTGTATCACTTGCAGTGCAACTGCGGAAAGGCGATCAACGAAATGCACCGCGTCGTGTTTCACGGACCTACGAAGCTGATGGCGGTTGGAGCTGGCTGCTCCACATGCACGGAGGCCACGGCAGGCGTATCACACTTCTGGAACCTCATGCAGGTATGATGCATCTAGTCCAGTAGTAGTCTAGAGGCTCTGGTAGCAATTGCATGCAGGTAAATGAGATTGATACCTGTGTGAGATTTATACCTGTGTGAGATTGTTACCTGTATGAGATAGCTATCTGTATGAGATTTATTCCTATACGAGATTGCTATGTAAGATTTGTGTGTAACTACACAGAAACTTGCGTCCCTGTGTGGTGTTATCGTAAAATAGCATAGGCACAGCTAACAATCTCACACAGGTAGCTATCTCATACAGATAACAATCTCATACAGGTAACAATCTCCCACAGCTAGCAATCTCATACAGGTATAAATCTCATACAGATAACAATCTCATATAGGTAACAATCTCACACAGGTAGCAATCTCATACAGGTAACAATCTCATACAGATAGCTGTTTCATACAGGTAGCAATTTTAATCTCATGCTGGTAAATAGCAAGAAGACACGTATTCTTCTTCTTCCTCTTCTTCTTTCTTATAACCGCATTCTTCCGCTTATTCCGCTTACTCCGCATTATTCCGCTTTCTCATTCTTTCTTTCTTATCACCGCATTACAGGTGACACCGACGTCGGCCAGTCCGGCTCTGTCGGATCGTAAGAGATTTCCAAAGTTTTTCCGAACTGCGACATCGGATCTGAACATGAACGCGGCACGCATTGAACTGATGAAGTACATGGGCTGGAAACGTATTGCTATCATCCAGGAATCACAGGAGATCTTCACCCTGGTACGTGTTATCCACGCCACCATTACTATATAGATTGTGAGTAACTGAAATCGCATGTTACTGTGTATACTGATAAGTGTAGCAGCGCTTTAAATAATATAGCTCGATGCACGCGCGCACGCGTGCTTTGTGAGCGTGTGCGCATGCATATGTCCGCATGTGTATGTACGCGCGTGTGTATGTGTGGGCGTGTGTGCGTGCGTGCGTGTGTGTGCGCGTCTGTACGCGCGTGTGTGTGTGTGGGCGTGTGTGTGCGCGCGTGTGTGTGTGTGTGTGGGCGTGTGTATGCGTGTGTCTGTGCGCGTGTGCGCGCGTGTGTGCGCGCGTGTGCGCGCGTGTGTGCGCGCGTGTATATGTGTGGGTGTGCGCGCGCGTGTGTGTACGCGTGTGTAGGTGTGGGCGTGTGCGCGCGTGTGTGCGCGCGTGTATATGTGGGCGTGTATGCGCGCGCGTGTGTGTGGGCGTGTGTGGGCGTTCGTACGCGCGTGTGTACGCGTGTGTATGTGTGGGCGTGTGTGTGCATGTGTGTACGCGCGCGCTTGTGTGTGTGGGCGTGCGCGCGCTCGTGCGTGTCTACCTATGCGCACATGAACCGGGAGCTCTCTCGCTTGCTATGTACTCAAATCATGATACGATGCGAAATCTTTATATCGACAGACGAACAGCTACCGAAAAGCGCCAGCAATAAAAAACTCAAACAACAGAGTTCCACCGTCTATGTGTTTTCGGCATTTTACTTGCGTACTACCTCAATTATTTCGTGCGCGCGTTAATCGTCCGAGCAGGCAGGATAACAGAAGCCTTGCCAGGCAACCTCGCTGCTCTCGCTCCCCGTATCCATAGACGCATGTTGCTGGAATTAGACGCATTAGTATCACAAACACTATAACATTTCGGGGAGATTAAATTCTGCGCGTGATGTTGAATCACATTATGTAACACACGGTAGCGTTACTGGCAGCCTGCGTTCTCCATAGTGTAGCCTTGGATAACGTGGTTAAAGGCATCAAAGAGTGTTATTCGTGTGTATACAAAACAACTCTGTGCATTATGCGGTAGATCGTTAAACGCAGCATGTTTGTAATAATTTGTACATAATCTTTTGTTGAATAATTTTTTAATAATTATTTGTAATAATTTGTAACGAATAGTTAACATGTTTACCTGCGCACTATATAGATAGCTGTTCGGTAGTTAGCATGCTCTGTCTGGCGATCGCACCCTTCCCCGGCTTCCTTCTCTCTCCTCTCACTGCTCCTGGTCCGCCTTCTCTTTCTGACAGTTACCTTTACACTATTGCATTACACTATTTGGGCGTTTCGTCCAGTCTGTGTATCCGTTAGTCTGTGACAAGGCCGTCGTACACACACCACACGTTCATGGCTAATACTGTATAAGCTGTATATTTCGCGGTCGTTCAATTTCTCTTCCTTTCGCGGTCATTGCCGGATCCAGTTCTTCAGTCATTCTCTCGTGCTTCGACGTGCCTCAAACTCCTCAATGACGTCACAGTGTTCTCATATTCAAGGCACATCTATAATCCACAAACCCAATGATCCATAATAGCCGAACGCCTAGAGTACGAACGTGACGGCTGAAAGGCCCTTGGATCGAATCCCATCTGTTTTTTAATTTTTCCCCTGTTTTCTGTATTTTGCTATCTTTATCCATTTAACTCTTTTTCGCCAATTAACGCAAATATATAACAACATATAATTTTTACAACAATTAAATTATTATTTCTTAAATAGGGTTAGGGTCACGTATTTTCACAGGCACGTGATTTGTATCAACCAATGGGATTTAGGAGATATGCAGGCCCTAGCTGCGTGTGTATAAGCCGTATATTTCGCCGTCGTTTCGTTTCGCGTGATTGACGGAGCAGTTCTTCAGTGATTCTCATGCAATTAGACCTGCGCGATGGCGTGTGCATATGTTTGGTAGTGAATTAGACCCGCTAAAATTCTAGACTGTTCGCTGGCAGCAATTGATCCGTGCGCCGGTTTTCGATTTGGCGCACGGATCAATAGCTGCCAGCGCGTGATACTTTGTAGCGTTCGCTGCGGTCGCGTGCGCTTGCGCGGAACTGCGCGCAAGATCCGCGCTCAGCGGGCAGGATCAACACCTCTCAGGCGACGCTTCTCTGGTATCCGTCTTTCATCTGGATGATATAAATTGATAACACACCCATTATCATATTAATATAAATAATAAGATCAGTAATTACTATTTACATATTATTTATCCTAGTATTATTTTATGAACAGCGCCATCTACTAAACGAAGATACCGACAGCACGAAAAGCGACCAAGACAATTAAGTCACCGAGTTAGATTTCTTAGTTAGTTGTTAGGATTCATAAATCAGCTCAACGATTTACCGTTTAGTAACTTTCCAGATGAAAAAAACCCCGATACATTAGTTAAGAAAACGTTTTCCCGCGCAGGTTGCCGAGGCTTTAATACCATTGCTGAAAAAAGAAAACTTTGAACTCATAACAACGGAGACTTTTCATCCGAGTAAATCGATAGACAACCTCATAGTAAGATATGACATCATTTATGCCATTTGTATAATACCCATTTAGCAATAACGAAGCAACTGCAAAGTGGCGTTCTTTAACGTCTGCTTGTGTGTGAATATGCACAGGTATAATTATATTCAACATTCGATCTGCTGATTTTTGTCTATTATATTCATCCATGTTATTTAGCTGATCTGTCGGATGGTCGGTCCGTACGTTATGCATCATAAACATTATGGCTGAAACGATTATGGCTTGCTGCATATTTATTTCGGGAGCACGTTGCTGTCATTACCATTACACCATGAGTGTATAATATATATATATATTATACACTCGTGATGACATCGCAACAAGATAAAGGCTAAACCCTGTATTATACCACCGCTGTGTGTGCGCGCGCGCGCGCGCCGCGGTCGCTCCTCGACTCTTTACTCCCTTCGGCGCACGTTGCTGCGCGCTCCCCATTACCATTTACACCATGAGTGTACTAATTTTACTATATTTATATATACCTATACTTACTCCATCCCCTACTCACACCCTCGCTCGATCCGCACACTTCGCACAGACTAAAGGCCTAAACGCCTGTATCTATTACCACCGCGTGTGTGCGCGGCGCGCCGCGCGTGTGTGTGTGTGTGCTGTGTGTGTGTGTGTGTGTGTTGCGTGTGTGTATGTGTGTGTGCGGGTGTGTGTGTGTATGTGTGTGCGTGCGTGCGCGCGCGCGTGTGTGTCTGTCCGTGTGCTTGCGTGCGTGCGTGCGTGCGCGCGTGCGTTAGTGTGTGTATGTGTACGTGCTTTTTCCAGAAACGGGATGCTAGAATCATCTTCGGAGGCTTCTACATGGGTCAGGCTATGAAAATATTTTGTCGGGTAAGATGAAATAAATAGTTTCGGCTGTTTAATCCCATCGATTCCTTTCATCAGACGACGTACGATACTATTGTGGAATATCAGNCGCGCGTGTGTACACGTGTGTATGTGTGTGCGTGTGTGTGTGGGCGTGTGTGGGCGTGCGCGCGCGCGTGTGTACGCGTGTGTATGTGTGGGCGCGTGTGTGTGGGCGTGTGTGGGCGTGCGTGCGCGCGTGTGTACGCGTGTGTATGTGTGGGCGCGTGTGTGTATGTGTGTACGCGCGCGCGTGTGTGTGTGGGCGTGCGCGCGCTCGTGCGTGTCTACCTATGTGCACATGAACCGGGAGCTCTCTCGCTTGCTATGTACTCAAGTCATGATACGATGCGAAATCTTTATATCGACAGACGAACAGCAACCGAAAAGCGCCAGCAATAAAAAACTCAAACAACAGAGTTCCACCGTCTATGTGTTTTCGGCATTTTACTTGCGTACTACCTCAATTATTTCGTGCGCGCGTTAATCGTCCGAGCAGGCAGGATAACAGAAGCCTTGCCAGGCAACCTCGCTGCTCTCGCTCCCCGTATCCATAGACGCATGTTGCTGGAATTAGGCGCATTAGTAGCACAAACACTATAACATTTCGGGGAGATTAAATTCTGCGCGTGATGTTGAATCACATTATGTAACACACGGTAGCGTTACTGGCAGCCTGCGTTCTCCATAGTGTACCCTTGGATTACGTGGTTAAAGGCTTCAAAGAGTGTTATTCGTGTGTATACAAAACAACTCTGTGCATTATGCGTCAGATCGTTAAACGCAGCATGTTTGTAATAATTTGTACATAATTTTTCGTTGAATAATTTTTTAATAATTATTTGTAATAATTTGTAACGAATAGTTAACATGTTTACCTGCGCAATATATAAATAGCTGTTCGGTAGTTAGCATGCTCTGTCTGGCGATCGCACCCTTCCCCGGCTTCCTTCTCTCTCCTCTCACTGCTCCTGGTCCGCCTTCTCTTTCTGACAGTTACCTTTCCGTCCCTTCCTTTTCCCTGGATCCTCTTTGTTAGTCTCTCCTCGATTGATATAAATTGATAACACACCCATTATCATATTAATATAAATAATAAAATCAGTAATTACTATTTACATATTATTTATCCTAGTATTATTTTATGAACAGCGCCATCTATTACCGACAGCACGAGAAGCGACCAAGACAATTAAGTCACCGAGTTAGATTTCTTAGTTAGTTGTTAGGATTCATAAATCAGCTCAACGATTTACCATTTAGTAATTTTCCAGATTAAAAAAACCCCGATACATTAGTTAAGAAAACGTTTTTCCGCGCAGGTTTCCGAGGCTTTAATACCATTGCTGAAAAAAGAAAACTTTGAACTCATAACAACGGAGACTTTTTCATCGAGTAAGGACCCGGATGAATCGATAGACAACCTCATAGTAAGATATGACATCATTTATGCCATTTGTATAATCCCCATTTAGCAATAACGATGCAACTGCAAAGTGGCTTTCTTTAACGTCTGCTTGTGTGTGAATATACACAGGATATATATTCAACATTCGATCTGCTGATTTTTGTCTATTATATTCATCGATGTTATTTAGCTGACCTGTCGGATGGTCGGTCCGTACGTTATGCATCATAAACATTATGGCTTGCTGCATATTTATTTCGGGAGCACGTTGCTGCCATTACCATTACACCATGAGTGTATAATATATATATATATATATATATATATATATATATATATATATATATATATATTATACACTCGTGATGACATCGCAACAAGATAAAGGCTAAACCCTGTATTATACCACCGCTGTGCGCGCGCGCGCGGCGCGCGTGCGCTGCTGTTTGCCTGTTGCTGTGTGTTGTTGCGTCGCTGCCTGCTGCTTGGTACCTCTAAGTGCTATGTGCTGTTGTGCGTGTGCTGCCGCTGCCTGTTGGTGTATGTGTCCTGCTGCCGCCTGCGGCCAGTCGCCGCGCCGCGTGTGCTGTCTGTGCCGTGCTGCTTGCGCTGCGCTGCCGGTGCGCTGCCGTGCCCGTGCGCGGCTGCCCTGCTTTAGTGTGTGTATGTGTACGTGCTTTTTCCAGAAACGGGATGCTAGAATCATCTTCGGAGGCTTCTACAGGGGTCAGGCTATGAAAGTATTTTGTCGGGTAAGATGAAATAAATAGTTTCGGCTGTTTAATCCCATCGATTCCTTTCATCAGACGACGTACGATACTATTGTGGAATATCAGTTGTTAATTAGAAATCAAACTTCCCACTGTGTGTGTACACTTATGTACGCAGAAACCACACGGAGTACCTAGAGTACTAGACGCAGAGTACATAGACCATGTGTGCTGCACAATGTGTTGATGGCAACTATGCATGACCGTGACATAATATATATATAAGGTTAACACATGGTAACCATGCATGACATGATAGATGAAACGTATCGTAACTATGTATGAACGTGGCATGCTATGCAAATGTAACACATAGTAACAATGAATGACTACGGCATGAAACGTAGATTACTAACACTTAGGCTTACAAACGAGGATTGTACGGGCCGAAGATACAGTGGATAATTGGCGGCTGGTACGATTCAAAATGGTGGAACACGCAGGATCCGTCCAAAGACTCGGCAAACTGCACGATGGACCAGGTAAGGTGGACCATGACACATACAGAGGCTTTGTCCGTGTATAATATTATCGCAGTCTGGGAGAAGTCCTCGTAGTGTTCGTATAGAGACTCGAATCCCTGTGGGTAGAGTCGACTACTGTTCCCGGAGTGAGATGTGATACGACCAGGAATGTCATAACATGGAATCACGTGGGTGTGTGATAATAAATAGAGTCTATATTGATATTATGACACTCCTGATACGACGGTGGTGATGTAGGTGTCAGATGTTGCAAATATTATGTAGTGCTAGTTTATTAGCTTTACAGATACCTATAAAGCTTCCCATAGGTGGAGAGACACGTTCCCTGATTGCTATTAGCGGGGTGGCTGAGTTGCAAAAACTTGGAGAAAATTGGAGAAAATAGAATATGTTCAAATCTTTCAACTAGTTTCTTGTTGAGCGCTTAACGGTTACGTTCACACTGTCGACTTTCAGTCGATTAGTTGAAAATTTGATCAACACGTCAACTTTTCAACAGAAAGTTGATAGTGTAGACCCAGCGTAATGTTGTAGTCTGCTTGGTATTTAACAGATCCTCACAGCTATGAACGGCTACATCGCTACTGGCGCCGTCCACTGGAATGCAGTGGAAGAGAGGGGATTAGCTGATATCACCGCAGAAGAATTCAGAGCCGAATTCAATAGATTTACTAACTACACTGAACCGTTCGGCTACAAGTATGCAAACACACGGGGCGAAGCTTTATAGCAATCATAGAATTAATATTTGGTCACAATTTCATTAATGTGCGTGCAGCGTTAGAGCGTACAGTATATTGACGTGAACGCAGTTATTTAGTAAGAACACACTTGATGCATAATACAATCATCTATAATAAAACCAAACTAAATAGCAAGTTTATTATGGACATCGATAGAAATAAACAAATAGCAATAAAAAATCGCCAACAATTATGATATGGTATAGCAAGAGACCTTCGGCAGAGCAGTGCCACCACATTGAAATAACGAGGGTGCATGTTTCGATGCGCACTTTCTCTAGACATTTACACCACACAGTAAAATCTCATCACAAATTTTACTAGCACTTCGTACAAAACATAACTCTATTTATTATGTTGCTGACTCTTTATAGTTGAAGTATTTAGTTATACTCCTCTTTTGTTCCGTGATAACCAACAGTGCGGTGTGCTTTCTACATAGCTTATATAGTGAATTGTTTTGATACAAACTTCTTAAGTCGAAGCACTGCATGCACTTTCAGCTTAAAACCAATCTCACCGGCTATGAATTCTCTGAGGATGTATTTAGTGATAAAGGTAACTAATATAAATGAATGCTAGCCATGTTATCAATGTTAATTCCCAAGTCACATATCATGTTATGTTACCGCACGAACAGGTGGCATAATCATGCTTTCGTAAACATTAATCTTTCATCTTCAAACATTTATTATTCGTAAACATTAATCTTCTATCATCAAACATTCATTATTAGTAAACATTAATCTTTCATCTTCAAACATTTATTATTCGTAAACATTCATCTTTCATCGTCAAACATTTATGATTCGTAAACATTCATCTTCCATCATCAAACATTCATTATTCGTAAACATTCATCTTCCATCATCAAACATTCATTATTCGTAAACATTTCTGAAGGAACATTTGTGACAGGTTTGCTGCCTGGTCGTTTGACTGCGTGTGGGCCGCCGCCGTGTGCCTGAATAACACTGTTAACGACCTGGAACCAACAGGTACGCCACTCTACCACTAATGCAGCCACTCGGCGCTGTGTGTCGAGCATTTCGTCTAACCTAAATATGTCGTTTACATTTACAGTGACCGTACCTTGTATAGATATCATAATCATATCCTGTATGTACATCTTAAACATATATCTTGTATGATGTCACGATAATATCTTCTATATATAGTTATGATGAATATATCTTATGTTAATATATCTTATATGTTGATATATCCATATATATCTTATGCGATCAGTAGTTATACATTCTATAGAGGCGGTCAGGAGGTCTGACATACGGGCGATGCGATTCTGTGTAAAAAGCAAAAGCTTAGAAGAAGTTGCGGTTTAATGCGATGTGGCTGGTTTTTACCCGATCATCAGGTCATAACATAAAAGAGTTCACGTACGGTCATGGCAACTACACCTGATGTTTACACATCTGGTTAACTACACCTGATGTTTACACACCTGGTTAACTATACCTGATGTTTACAACCTGGTTAACTACACCTGGTTTTTACCTTATCACCAGGTCATAGGATAGAAGAGTTTACTTACGATCATGTCAACTACACGGACCTGATGATGGCCAACATGGCAAAGACCGACTTCCTTGGGGTCAAGGGCAGGGTCAAGTTCGACGAATTCGGTACCTCTTTCAGCGACACACGCGTAGCGCAGTTGCAAGGTACGGCTGTGTGTGTGTGTGTGTGTGTGTGTGTGTGTGTGTGTGTGCGTGTGTGTGTGTGTGTGTGTGTGTGTGTGTGTGTGTGTGTGTGTGTGTGTGTGTGTGTGTGTGTGTGTGTGTGTGTGTGTGTGTGTGTAAGTGTGTACGCGTGTATTAGCGTGGGTGTTTGAAGGTGTGCGTGCGTAAACGCAAGCGTGTGTGCATGCGCGCGTGCGTGCTAACGCGTACAAACTCGTCTAGCTTTCACCAAACTAGCCGTAATATCTGAGATGACGTCGTCTTATCTCTCTCAGATAGATAGGTGATATTTTCCTCGTTGTTATAGGAGAGAACGAGGTGACAATAGCAATCCTGAAGGTCGGGTCATCCTTCACAGACGATACCCTTGTGAATCCATTCCAATTTCACAGTAAGTCTCTCTCTGCACACCTGACATACTCTATATAGCACCATATCATGCTCCATGCTATCATTGAACAAGTCTCTAACTGTCACCCGTGAGCAACACTGTAACCATGATAACTGGTGTGATTGCGTACAACACTGTAACCATAGCAACAGGTGTGGTCTAGAGCATCTGATGGTCAGAGCATCACATTTATGCGTATTCGTGCATTCTGCTTCTAGCTAAAGGAAACAAGCCACCAGTCGATGGACCACAACTATTCAAGGAGAGGTTTTATGTGCCCCGATACCTCTACTTCTTCATGTGCTTTGTGTCAATGCTANAGCCGTAATATCTGAGATGACGTCATATTATCTCTCTCAGATAGATAGGTGATATTTTCCTCGTTGTTATAGGAGAGAACGATGTGACAATAGCAATCCTGAAGGTCGGGTCATCCTTCACAGACGATACCCTTGTGAATCCATTCCAATTTCACAGTAAGTCTCTCTCTGCACACCTGACATACTCTATATAGCACCATATCATGCTCCATGCTATTATCGAACAAGTCTCTAACTGTCACCGGTGAGCAACACTGTAACCATGATAACTGGTGTGATTGCGTACAACACTGTAACCATAGCAACAGGTGTGGTCTAGAGCATCTGATAGTCAGAGCATCAGATTTATGCGTATTCGTCGCTTCTGCTGTCTAGTAAAGCGAAAACAAGCCACCTGTCGATGGACCACAACTATTCAAGGAGAGGTTTTATGTGCCCCGATACCTCTACTTCTTCATGTGCTTTGTGTCAATGCTAGGCATTCTTTGCACGTTGGTTCCTTATCTCAATGTGGTGAACAGAAAAGCCAGGTATATATAGAGTGTGAAGTAGCAAAGAAAAATTCCAATCGTAAATCGTTTTAATCTTATACCGATCAACTCCTTTTACTAGTAATAGCAGCGCTGTCTTAAAATTCCAACGTACACGCTGTGTATCCGAATAACATCGAAAAATATCTGCCACAGACTGCAATGTCTATATGCACATATCTGCCACTATATATATCACGTCTAGTCTCAGCTAGTCATATTTGATTGTGTTTCTCTAAAATATTACTCACTATAGAACATACGACTACATGTACATAACTTTCTTGGTAAATACTTTCACTCTAGACATTCTTACAAAAAGAAGCTGCTAGAAATCATGAAGCATGCTAGAATCTACGAAGTGAAAAAAACTGTCGACCATTTTGTAGCGTAAGGTTAGGGAATAGCTCATGCGTTAATATTATTTATATATAGGTCAGTAGTGCTAAATATACATAAAATTCTTCATGTGTACATAGGATTAGACTAATTTGTACTATAAGAGTATTCTGGTATTGTAGCCCGCCGGGTTTTGACGTTTACAGGCTTATCAAGATGTCCTCACCAAATCTGAACAACATAATTTTATGCGGCTGTCTACTCAACTACATATACGTATTCTTCGAAGGATTAAATGAAAACTATCCCGTTGTTATGTTTTGCACGGCAAGTAAAATATCTTCTTTGTATTTAAATACGTGAAAGTGGTGTTTCACATGCACGTGAATGCATTCCGTAAAAATTTTAATTGCGTAGCAATTTCGTATTTAATACTGAACGTGAAGCTATTAATAAAGTATAGTTTACATATTATGTATAAACCTGTAATATATTGTATAAACCTGCATACTGCAGTAACCGAGTGCTGGCATAGCTATAGTTAAGTAGTCATAAGTTAGTAATTAAGTAGTTAGTCATAGTGGAATAATTAAATATAAGCTGCCTTATTGAGAATGCCATCGTTGCATTGTTGCAAGAATGCCATTGTTGAATTGTTGCAAGAATGCCATTGTTGAATTGTTGAAGGACGCCATTGTTGCAATAAGAACCGCGATTGCAATAATGCCCACATTGCAAGTATCCCGTTTAGAAATAATATATGGAAACTAATGTATAGACAGACGTGTCTATGTGTCTATGTCTGTAGATAAAGAGATTGCTCACGATTTCAGGTGAGGAACTTCTTGCTGGTTGCCGGATTTTCGCTAGCCTTTGGCGCTCTATTCGCTAAGACATGGAGAGTTCATGCTATATTCACCGAAAAGAACGTCATTCAGAAAAAGGTGTGTCTGTCTCTATAAATTACGTATACCACCGCCACCGCCGGCGCCGCCGCCGCCGCCTCCACCTCCGCCATCGCCATCACCATCGCCACTGGCATGCCATCATCAGCCGCCGCGCCAAACGACCACTACTACTACTATACATTCAAACTGGAGCCGGGCAGGCTGATAGCACGTGTGCATGATAAAATATTATCTACATGCTTCACTTTGCTCGCAGCATCGCGCCACAATTCCCAGCTATGCTAATGTATGGCAAATGGCGCTGCGACGTCGGTCGCCGTTGACTGCCAAGATAAAATTCTTCGGCCGTTCTTATATACTATTACTTATAATAATGCATAAATATGTAATAATAATAATAATAATAATATATGGCCACGATTAAACAAGGATCATTAGCTCATATAAGAACTAATAGAATAAAAATGCGTGTCTACATTATGTAACATTTAGTTTCTTACTCATAGGCTCTCGACTACTCGAGGTGTTATCCGTGATCGTATGTTCGGGACTACGTATATTGTTAAGATATACGGCTGTACGCATTATCAACATAAATTAGCCAAACTGAAGGTACGTATTTCAAACACACACAATATTTAATAGTCGGTAATGACGGTAACATATATATCCCGTAATAGTGAACAGTAGTGTACAGCTGTGTACGCGACATACAAAACATGAACTTACATATCCATAGTAGTCTTCGTCAACGGTGAAAGCAGTACGATATCTCTTGCCACGTTCGTAGTAGTGCAAATAGAGAGCTGCCGCTATATACTCCCGTGCTGCGTGCACACTGTTATATATACCGCGCCCTCCTATTGTTTAGGTTCTGGTCACGCTGCATTGTTCAGCGGCCTGGTAGCGCACGAGGTCAGCTGCGCGTTTACACAAAAGGCTTGTTATTATGCAATTATCCTATGTCTATCTATTTTGACTATTTCGGTATTACAATTATACATAATATTTTATACGTTACTTTATATTTTTATAATTGTGTATTTAGGCGATTAAAGACAGCAAGCTGATTGCGATGGTCGGTGTCCTACTGATGATGAACATGACTGTACTTATACTCTCCCTAATCATTGACCCACCCCACGTCAAGACACTAGAAGCCAGACCAATAGTACGTAGCGTAACAATACCTGGTCTGAACCTTGACCAATAGTACGTAGTGTAACATTACCAGGTCCGAAACAGAACCAATAGTTTGTAGCGTAACATTTTCAGATTCGAAATAGAACCAATGGCGCGTAGCGTAACA